GCTAGAAGTTCATCAAGCTTCTTGTTAACAGAGTCCTCCAACGGGATCGGAATTTGTCTAAGCTGCTGGAAAACAGGGACGACAGTTGGATCCATCTGAATATGAACCTGTACCCCTTTAATCTTTTGAAAAGTAGGTGTTGGCTCTTTATTCTGTACTTGATTAACATCAATTCCTATCTTCAACACGCCGAGTTGTATGGAAGTTGCATCGCCGAGTATGTTACGTTGTCCATTTTCGATGACGAAAAACTCCGCACGGACAGATCGCTTCATCAATTCAACCACTGCTACAAATGATCCCAATATGACTAACGGTAAATCGCTGCCATACGCTTTTAGAATCTTATCACAGCCTTTGGTGCACTTCTGCACAATAATGCATTTTTCTTTCATCATTTCCCATGTTCCAACAGTGATCAGGTTTGCGTCCGATCCCGAGTCAACTAGCATTTCGGTAGTTTGTCAGATTTCCGGTGTGAAACGTATAATATACTTTCTGCTCAACACCGTCGACAAAAGGCTCTTTTTCAGCGGCAGTGGTTGACGATTCGTCATTTACTGCTCGGACCTTCTTTGTAGTAGCATGTTCCGGAAATTTCGGTGGGCGCTTGCGACATGTCTTCTCGAAATGGCCAATATTCCGACACCTACGGCACCTTTGCCCTTTCGCAGGGCACGCAGCATCTTTGGAAATATGCCCGTTCTGACCACACGAATAGCATACAACTCTCTGATCCCTGTCAACTCTATCTGAAGTGGTTCTACCTATGAACCGTTTTACAATCCGTTCCTGCTTGCGCCCGTCCCTGCTCACTACGAATTTATCAACTTTTCTAACTTCAAATTCCCCGGGTTCACCACGCGGATGCTTGTTGCTCATCTCCAGCTCCTGTGCCCTGACACTTTCCAATGATTCGCCCAATGCTTCAATACAGGAAAGAGATTGATCTTTCTCTAATATCTTACGACGGAGTTCCTGAGAAGTGCAACCTTCTACGATCACATCAATCAGCATCATTTCTTCTACGCTGCATCTGACGTCTTGTGGATACTTCTCGAGTCCACAGTCCTGGAGCTGCTGTCGCAACCGTAGAATGAAATGAGAAAATCGTTCATTTGTACCTTGCTTCATGTTCCGCAGTTTATATCGTTCAAGCACGTCTTGTCTACGTGGCTTGAAATAGGCCTCCAGCCGCTCTACAGCAACGTCAAACCACGGCTTTTCAAGTAACACCATTGAAAATTGTTCAGTCCCCTACTTCTGAAAACCTTCTGAAGCTGTGGACCTCCCAAATGAAGCATCTTGGATCGCTTTAGCTTTTGATCAGTAATCTGGTACGACTCAAAATAACATTCGAGGGCACCCTTCCACTGCAGAAACGTTAAAAACATTGGCCCCCTAGCCATTCAATTTCATGTTTCCAGCCCCTAGCTGCAGAAACTTTTAAAACAGTGGCCCCCTAGCCAGTCACTTGTTTCCAGCCCCCTAGCTGCAGAAACGTTCAAAATAATTAGCTATTCAATCCATTACTTCCACTGGTAACAACTTTCATAATTTGATTCTTGCGGTACTATGCCCCTTCTGGACACAGCATCGTCAACTAATTTTTTTTTTTTTCATCACAGTGGCCCCAACCGAGGCTCCAACTAATCGATAGCCTGGATTGAACGGTCTTTCAATCCCGGATCTATTTTCAATTAATATCTCCGACAACACAAATTCATGAATCTTTCCGCATGCCAAAACAACATCAATAAATCTTCTTCATCGCCCCTGGGTATACCTTATAGGGAAAAAAAATCGGAATTGCAATCATCAGAAGCAGCCATTTTGTTTTTCAGGTTTCCTTCAATCACAGAACAAATTTAATAACACTGCATTTTATTCGTAATTACCTTTGATTCTCTGTAATCCTTGTCGCCAGATGTAGATACTGAAGAAGATCCAGTTTCGGAATATTTGTTCAAAACCACTCGATTAGATTTTCACACCAACCAACATTTATTCTTCACCTCATCAATCTCTTCTCACGTCCCTTCGTCCGATAGTTTTCACTCGTTCTCCTTTCGCCAAGACCTTTTCGGCCAAAGTGTTCCTAACTTATAACACTGTCAATATATTTTACTCAAAAGTAATAAACGCAAACCCTACACAAATCATATTCATCGGTAGGGGGGCGACCCCGGCGTAGTGGTTAACATCCATGCCTCTCACGCCAAAGTCACGAGTTCAAATCTCACCCCCGGACAAGTCACGAATAAAAAAATATTCATCGGTGGTGAGGTGTGGCCAAAATAGGAACCTATGGCCAATACTGGTACACTTCCCCTAATCTGTTGTTAAAAAATCCCTTTCCCCCTTACTTTTAAGTAAACGAAGAAGACCTTAGCAACGATTGGCAAAATGTCAACACAAAACAGTGATGCCATTTTATATTATATTTTGTGTCATACTTATCATCGTGTGCCATGACGTGCCGATCAGTGTGCCTCAGTTTAATTGTATAGAATTATTTAAAATTAATTAATGTGTTTTCCACGAATATTTAGACATTGTCGACCAAATGTGGAAACTGCCCAAATCTTCAGTGGCTGTTGAAACTCTTACCATTTTAGCTTCTCCTTGATGTTTTCGCATGCAAACGGTTTAACCAGCTGGTTTTGTTATGTAAACATGCAAACAAACTCTTAGAGGAGGGAGTTAATACGACCGGTTGGGTTGAAACATGAGACTAAACTATACTTTATTGATGCAGTACTGACAAGTTTAGCATACTAGGATTATTCTAATTTCACCGAGTTGCTTCGATCTCGTTCACTCCTCCTCAAGCTCGGTGAGTTGCTTCGATTACTCCTCCTCAAGTTCGGCGGGCTGTAGACCAATTTTCAGGCGCATCTTCTCCATCTTGACGCGAGCCAATGGTTTTGTTAGACCATCGGCAACCATTTGTTCACTGGAGCAATAGCGAACGTCCATCACACTATTGTTGACCAACTCCTTCACAAAATTATAGCGAGTGTCGATGTGCTTTGTTCGGTTGCTACCGCCGGCAGATTTCAGCATCGCAATGCAGCTTTGGTTGCTTCGTGTACAACTACAGGAGCCAAAATTGGTTCTCCGACGTCCTTCAGTAGCTTCATCACCCACATCAGCTCGCGGTTGGCTTCGGAAAGCGCCACCTACTCCGCTTCGGTAGACGAAAGAGTTACGCATGGTTGTTTTCGGGCTGCCCAACTGATTGGTCCTCCAAGACAGAAGACGAAACCGGTGTTTGATTTCCGGTCTGTCTTGTCACCAGCCCAGTCTGCATCGACGTATGCTTCCAGCGGTCCGGATGAACCTAGATGTAGGCTCCAATCCACTGTTGACTGGAGATACCGGAGCGTCCGTTTTGCTTCGGGCCAGTCTGCTTCCGTTGGTCGACTTATGGCGATGTCCGGTCTCGTGTTGACCACGATGTATAGAAGAGCACCCACCAGGCTCTGGAACTCGTCGTTTCTGGGCATGGGCTCCTCCTCCTTCTTTTGTGCATTCGGGTACCCGGGATCCATCGGTATCGGCGAGCGCTTCGCTTTTGATTGTCCGAACCGTTCGGCTACCTTCTGGATGTAGGTTTGTTGGTTCAGGAAAAACTGTCCGCCGGATCTTGTCACTCGGATTCCCAAAAAGTGTCATTCCACACCGTTCCAGCCTGCTTCAGACCGTAGAGACTTTTTCGTAGAGCAGTACGTTGTCATTGACCCCGTTATGGAATCCTACCGGCTGCTTTATGAAAAGGGTCTCCTCCAGCTCTCCGTGTAGGTACGCCGCCTTCACGTCGACGTGCTTCACCAGCATTCCTCGTCTGGCGGCGACACTCAGCAGGGTCCGAAACGTGGTTTGCTTGGCGACTGGCGCAAAGACCTCATGGTAGTCGGTTCCGTATTTTTGATTGAATCCTTGCGCTACCAGCCTGGCAGGATCAGGTTTCCGCCCTCGTCCATCTTCTTCGTGAATACCCATTTTCTGCCAATAGCCTTCTTGTTTGGCGGCAAACGGACGACATCCCATGTGGAATTCTCTTCATGCGCCTTCATCTCTTCCTCCATGTTGCGCTCGGGGACAGCCATTGCTTCTTTGAATGTGCGTGGCTCGTCGACATATTCCGCTGCTATGCGCACGGTGTCTCGGTTCCGTTCTGGCGGGATGTCCTTTGTGGTACGCTCCGATCGTCGGACTACTGGTACATCAACTTCGCCGACGTCGGTCTTGCTCCTCCTGATAGTCGGATGTCTCAAGCTCCTCCTGCGCTTCTGTTTCCACAAACGTCTCCTCATTGGCATCGTCGTAGCTGGTCTCAAACCCGACTAGACCGGACTCATCCGATACGTCCACGCTCTCGTCCTCGTCGAACCCGAGTAGATCGAACTCAGCCGATTCGTCCTCGGTCTCGTCCACGTTTGCTGGAATAACGGGGACCTCAGCTTTCGGTTGCTCTAGGAGTCTTAGAATTACCGGTTCACAAAAATAATTTCAAGTCAATTCTCAAAAGAGTTCCAAGGGAATTCTGAGAAGACACCTAAGAGAATCAAATTTTGAGGTTAAAATTTCAAAGAATATAGAGATTAATCTGAGCAGAATTTCAATTATTCAAGGAAGCTTTAGTGCATTCTTGAAAGCATCATTTAAAAATCATAGTAAATCTTAGGATAAATTCCATGACTTATGTAAATGTAAGGATTGTTCTGCATAGCATTTCTGGACTGTTATAAAAGAACATTTCACGGAAGAGAGATTTTCAAACTTATTTTAGAGGAAATAGAACTCTTTGTAGGGAAAAGATTTTAAAACAAATTACGAGAACATTCCAAAACAATCCTGTAACAAGTTCTACGCCAATTTTCAAGTGAGTTAAAATTAACTAGGTGATGTCGCCAGATTGACTTATTTACATTTCTTCAAACAAACAAAGAAAAATCAATAACATCGTTAGATTATTTTTTACACAAACTTTATTGACTTCGTTTTTATATTTGACAATAATTACCGTAACTTTTTATAGGAAAACAGTCCGAACTGAAAACATTAAATGCAACTTTTTTACAACAAAAAGAGCAAACAATTATTGTTGTTACTGTTTTTCTCTTCTTGGGGGGATCGGATGGTTGTTGTTGGGTGTGGTTCACACGGCCGTTCAATCTTACCCAGAGACTGAGTAAAATTGCATTTCTATCTCTTTTACTCTCACTATCATAAACACTGGATTTAGACAGTTTTTATGATCATTGAGTAATTGTATATAGTACATTGTATTTACTCAGTCCCTGGGTAAGATTCAATGACCGTGCCTATCTGTACAGAATATCGCTGTTTAGTCCTTTTACTTTTAAGATCCTATTGTATTGAATGTTCCGTTTAATCCTACATACTATTCGTTCCTTATGATTGTTTGTATATGGCTAAGCTATATAGGACGACAGCCGGTTAAAAGGTCTGTTGTGTGTTGTGTGTGTGTGGTAAGTAGTGTTGATCTCAGCTTCGATCAATAAGTGTATTCATCAGGGATTTGTAGTTGTACCTTATCGTGTTAATTAGGTTAGTTTAGCGCTAGGTGGCCTTAATTTAGAAGACGTTCTTCAACTCGACGTCGAAGACCAGTGTGCTGTTGGGTGGGATCACCGGGGGGCTTCCTCGGGTTCCGTAGGCCAACTGATGGGGCACCGTCAGTCGTCGTTTGCCACCGACCTTCATTCCGGACACTCCAAGATCCCAGCCCTTGATGACCTCGCCGCGACCCAGAGCGAACTTGAAGCCGGGACCCTTGTTGGTGGAATCGAACACCTTGTTGTTCTTCTTCAGGCGACCTTCATAGAAGACGGCAACCTTTTTGCCCGGTTTGGCTTCTTGTCCGGATCCGACTTTGAGGTCTTCCACGACCAGTCCACCCTGAAGGGTGCGTGTCTTGGCTTCTTGCTGCTGACCTTCCTTCTTCTGTTCTTTCGGGGAAGCCTTGCCGTTTTCAACTCCATTTTGCTTGGAAGCTTTCTTCTCCACCTTAGCAACCTTGGCCTTGGGTTGTTCGTCCTCGGAATCGTCCTCTTCGTCATCATCGGACTCATCGTCATCATCGTCGTCGCTGTCTTCCTCACCGTCCAACTTGCTATCATCCATGTCCTCATCATCGTCATCATCGTCTTCGTCATCTTCATCGTCATCATCGTCGTCGGAATCCTCTTCCTCTACCGCACCCTTAGCACCTGACTTCTTGTTAGCACCCGTTGGCAACTCGAACGTCTCATCCAGCTCGTCCTCTTCGCCATCTTCCTCCAGCTGGACTTCCTTGGCGTTCACCTTCTGGGCGACCTTCTTGGCAATGCGCTCCTATCAATTAAATCCAAATCAGCAAAATCATCCAAACGACCCAATCCGGCTATAAACTCACCTTTCCTTTTCCCTTCTGAGGGGAAGCCTCCACCTCTTCGTCTTCCTCCTCCTCCAGATCCTCATCGTCTTCACCGCCGAAGAGATCCTCCTCATTCGGCATCAAATACCCGGTCAGGTGGACCACACCTTCGCCCTTGGTGCTTAAACTAATCTGGTCACCCTCGTCAAAGTTCAGATCTAATGCGACCTGCGGAGTCTTCTTGCCCAGCGTACACAGCAGGTAGGTGCTGTCTTCCGAGGTCAACATAACCTGTACGTCCGCATCTCCACATTTGGACAGATCCAGCGCCGCCTGGGACAGGTGGAACGCCTTCTGAACCGTCTGCGAGTACTTTTTGTTAGCCTTCAACACGAGTCCTACAAAAATAAGGGAAAAAGAAACGTGCACACCCGATTAACCCATGCATGCGACATGTTTGCTTTACGAAAATAGCCATCTTGTTTGAGACGCCGGGAGACCGCATTTTCTAAGCACGTTCTCACTCGGGCACTCGTTTTACTTACCCCAAAACATTTCGAATTATTTGGCTTTTCCGCAACGGGATAAACTATGAACAACTAACAACGAAACTTAATAGGAAGCGGGGGCTGCGAATGCCGGAAATAGCTTCACTTTTCAGACAAAATGTGTTTTTTCCGAGTGCTGCTGCTGCTTTTCGCGTGTGCTCTGGATCACACTACACTTTTTTGTGTTCGTTCAATCGCCTTGCTGCCTCGCCGCTGACTGTCAATTTTGTTCCGATCGGAGTTCTGTGTGTGAGTGGGACATTTTCATCGGTTGATCACTCACGGGTGAGGATGTGTTGGTGAGTGACCGAAAGAATTTTGAAAACACGGTTTTTTCGTTCAGTTCAGTTTGAAATGCGCGCCAAATGTGAGCGATTCAACGAAAAATACTCGAAGGTGCGGTAGGTTTTTGATGCGAGGAAGTCTACGCTATTCTGCACTCAAAAATAAATAAAATCAAACAAGCTTAAAAAGTATGCAAATTTCCGCTTCAACTTATTGAGTCCGAGCCATGATATTACTTCGGTAATAGTCATGCCCAGAGACGTTGAATAGAGACACGCATAGACTGAAGCAAGAAAAACCAAACGCTGAACCAAACGAGCAAAGTAAATAAACAATACTGTTCGCTCAATTCACCAGAAAGGAGTATTGTGTGTGGCAGGATAATTACTCATAATAGAGATTGCTAAAGTATGATTGTGTCAGTGATTTGTTTTCATCGGGAAAAATTTTCCGCTATGAAGTTTTTTTTTCCCGATGAAAACATTTTGCGTATACGTATTCGTGACGTAGTGTGCGTACGATAAACGTCAGCAATCTATATAGAATTATACACTCAAAGATAAATTTAATCAAAAAAGCTTAAAAAGTATGCAGTTTCCCGCTTTACATTATTGAGTCCGAGCCATGATTACTTCGGCAGTAGTCATGCATGATTAAAATCGAAATAATCTTTCCAGTATTAAATTTTATTCTGTTTCAATATTGATACATAATAAAAAAAGATTAAAATTCAATCGAATTTTTTTTAAAATAGAATCAAAAATGATAAAAAAATATTCAAAAAAAGATAATCTACAATCTAATCAACCATGATTAAATTGGGATTAATATCAGGTGCTTATTTTGTAGAACGAGAGGATTAATTTTTAATCATTCCAAGAGCAAATTTTCATTTTGTCGTAAGTAACATTCGCACCGATCCGAGAAAAATAAAGTTTTGTTTTGACGACCGAAAATTTATTCCTATTTCCAATTAAACACATATAATCTCATAGTGATAGCAATGTTTAACATATTTAGCCGGTTTTAATCATACTAAAGCAAATCGCTAGCTTTCATGCTAAGAAATACTGGTTTTTGAGTCAAAAGTTATTATACGTCGTTTGGTGGCCCCTATTGTTACTTAAGTCAAAGTGTATTTACCAGGATATTCGGGAGAATTATCAATTACGTCTCCTTACGTGCAGCCCATTCATCATTTTAGGACCACCGAAATCATCTTAGCAACAAACAGTTCGATTTATTCACTTTAATAACGAGAAAGCGAAACGACTAAAGTACACTTTTCACGGGTTTCTCAGTGCTGTTACTTAAGGCAAACGGCATCTCCATAGAAATCGGGTGACTTAAGTAACATCGAAAACTATTTTGATCGGAAGGTGATTACGTCAAAAAGCAATTCGACTGGTAAATAAATTTAAAAATGAGATGTGATCCTATATTCGGACAGTATATAGTGTAATAGCAGGAGCATCGATTGACACTGATAGCTCGACTTTGTTTACCTTTGTTACATTCGACGTAATGAAAATTTGCTCTTGATGTCATATAGATTTGCCTTTTAAGAAATCCATCAGCAAACATTTGTTTTGGCATGGTTTTCTGGGATGAATATTGCTCCCAATAAAATACATCTTACATGATTGTTCTTCATAAATTATTGAATTAAAATGATTAGTCGAACTAAATATTGCTAACAACAATGATACTGCATGAAATAATCCTTGTTTGTTATTGTTCCATAAGATAAGGGGAAAAGAATGTATTGAGATCGAAAAAAATTGATTCTACTGCAATATTTATTTGCTAAGATTCTAATTGTAAGCCTTCTACACGGCTGATTCAGATTCCAGCACTAGTACTCGAACTTCATGAACCAGTTCCATGAACTCAAATAATGCAGTCGTTGTTTTATTGCACACAGGAGCATTAAGCAAGATTTGAATACACGACACCACCGAAACGGAGCATAAATTTGTCAGTTCTATTTTTCTTCACTCCAGCAAAACGAGCATAACGTTGCACTACATTCCATGTCGGAAGAGCTGTTCTTACTTCATGCTAATTGAACGAGCTCAGCCGTGGCCCAGTGGAATCGAGCGCAGACACCGAAAGCATCACACCTCAACAGTTCTTGATCGAATCCCAAATCAGCTACAATAAAAAAGACACAACTGTGAAAGCTCCCACTGCCTGATGTTTATTTTTCGATTTATTTTTAGAAATCGATTAAATATATGTGTCAAAAGAAGAAGTAAATTTCATGTGATTTTCACATAAACTTTACTTCGATTGATTTATGACACATACATTATATTGTGGTGAAAAGTAAAGCTTATGCTTATGGGTTTCAAATTCATTTCAATTAATTATTATAATTTGACCGATTTTCATTTATCATATGACGATCATATAAAAGTTACCAAATTATCAGCATTGTAAATATATCAGATATTCATATAGAATTTACATGACACATTTTCAATCATATCATTTTCATTGGATTATCTTATAGCGCAAATTTAAAAGACTTCCACATAACAGGAATATGTCATATTGGTTCAGTGCACTACACCACCGGCGCCGTTAACGGTCGTTGTCATTTGCGCGACTATTTTAACAGCGCTCAGCGCTCTTATTTTAGTTTAAACGCTGTCCAGACTGGAGAGTTATAACATGTTATAACGGTTGTCAAATAATTGCAACACAGAAACCACCATCAAGATAGCGCTATAACATGTTATAACTCTGTAGTCTGAACGTACTATTAGTCACTCTTCTCCACACTGGTCGCTGCTATCGCGGTTATCAATTTAGGCTGTGAACCATTTACTGAGTTAAATTTAACTCGTGGTTAAAAGTGACATTTCGAAAGTTATTTTCTATGTTCGAAAATCCCCGTGCTGTCGATCGACCGGTTTTCGAGCTACGGTCGTCAAAATTTAACTTCTTGTCTGTCAGAAATAACCACGCTCGGATAGCAGGGTTAATCGATAACTTTCGATCTGTCAAATTTTAACCAAAAGTTAAAATAATCCACCAAATGGTTCAGAGCCTTACTCGCCTTTGTCCATACCGGTAGTGAGCATTTTGACATTTCTATGAATAGCAACCTTTCTCCCGCGCTGCTAAATTTGGTAACGCGCTTCTCACCGAGAAGCCGACTGCTATTTTAGTTACTCGTATGGCAACCCCCGATACGGTAGCTGCGCTATGATGAGGGCTGCTAAAATGACACCAATGCGTTGCTAAAGCTATTTTAGCAACCTCCACCATAACGCAGTAACCGCACTGGGGGTTGCTATTCAAGTGCGGGAAATAACAATCTGCCTCTCGGCGAACAGCGGGTTGACAAATATAGCAGCGCGATAGCAACCGGCCCAAGCGTTGCTATCTCTGAAATTTTTGTTTTGTTTTTCATTTGAACATTGTGATATATGAATACATTTGGATTTAGGACAAAAATGTGGACCCAAGGGACAGCAAAGCATTCCTCTGGAAGACCCGGAACACCGTTCACATTACAGCGTATATCACGTGATATACGCTGTCTTGCAATGAGCACTCATACATCTAGTTTTCACTGGAAATCCTATTAGGATTCAGGACTAGCATATGCAATCAGGTAGCGATGGAAGATTTTGAACATCCTCAAAAGTAGTCAATTAGCGTAAAAATCCTAGTTTTATTTGGACTTCCCTGAGGTTTTGAATCTTTCCTGAAGTTCTTGAATTTTTCTATTGTTCCGGAAAATTCATGAAATTATTGAAATATCCCATAATTCCTTTGAATTCCTTGAAATATCCTGCAATTTTCCTTAAATAAATGAAACTGATATGAAGATCTTTAATCATCTACGAAGTTCTGGGAACTTCCCAAAATATAATGAAGCTAAAAAAAATCTATATACTTCTCTGAAGGTCTCTAGACGCGATTTTCTTGAACATAATCTGATTGTCGTTTTTCTGGTGATTTTCCTGGAATTGTTTTGAAATTAATGGAACTGCCCAGAAGATCTTTTAATTTCCCTTTAAAAATGGATCTTTTGTGTAGCTTTCTTAATGTTCATTCCCTGAAGTTTTTTTTACTATCCTTAAATTTTCGGAACTTCTTGATGGTTTCCTCTATTTTACTGAAATAAATGGAACTGCCATAAAGTTCTCGAAACGAACCCAAAGTTTTAGGAACGTCCCTCAAGTTCTCACAGTTTTCCTGATATTCATGGAACTGCCCTAACATGTTCAGAACCTGCCCGAAGTTCACGTAACTTACTAATAGCATAGAGGTAACTCTAAGACCACTGGGTCCCGAAGAAAATCATTATTATTTTTGGCTCACTCAGTACCAGAACAACGGTCCCAAGCAGTCCCAAGCTATTTCACTCACCCCTGCATGTTCTGCATGAATCCACACACCCCTGATGTTATCTGTCAAACTTTCATAGCGAATCAAAACAAACATAGTGTAGTAATAGAATTTCAACTAGAATAGGGTACGTTAATCGTTTGCTTGGGACCAATAGGCTACTAAAGTGGTGAGCCAATTTAAAATCGTTAGTTTCGTATTGATTGTTGCTAATAGGTCTTTAAGCTTAAATTTTCCTGAGTTTAATGGAACTGCCCTGATACCTCGTTCACATTACAGCCTATATCACGTAATATAGGCTGTCTTGAAAAGAGCACTCATACATAGGATTTCCAGTGGAAACTAGATGTATTGCGTATATCAAATGATATACGCTGTAATGTGAACGGGGTATGAAGTTCTTGATCTTCGCTGAAGTAAATTTTCCTGAAATCTATTAGATTATTGCCCTGGAGCTGTCGAAACTTACTCTTAAAGATCTTTTAACTTCCCCACATTTTTATCAATCAGAACTTATTTAAGGTTTCATTTTTTTCTGATGTTTATTGATCTACCGTATTAAATTCAACCAATCGAGCTTGATAAATTCACAAGCTAAAATATGTAATCTAGTAATCCTGATGGGCATCCGAAAATGCCTTTATGCATTTTGGTGCGCAACTTTTATAAGAGGAGCATACGGAGATCAATATTTCGATCATTTCTACGAATTGACCACTTTTATGGATGTTCCGGATCCCCCAGAGGACAGTTTCGTGACCACCATTGTGCGCATTCTGGTCCCAGCTTCAAATTTATTCATGTAGCATTACAACAAGTGATTTAAAAAAAATCGCTGGGCTATTCGGATACCTGATTATTGGTGCGAAAGCCGAAAACGTAAATTCACAATCGTGATAGAAAACAGCAGCAGCAGCCCTCATCATAGCGCAGCTACCGTATCGGGGGTTGCCATACGAGTAACTAAAATAGCAGTCGGCTTCTCGGTGAGAAGCGCGTTACCAAATTTAGCAGCGCGATAGCAGCGCTGCAGAAAGGTTGCTACTCGTAGAAATGTAAAAATGCTCACTACCGGTACGCACTACGGCTAGTAAATTGATAACCGCGATAGCAGCGACCGGTGTAGGAAAGAGTGACTAAACTAAAATGAAAGCGCTGTGCGCTGTTAAAATAGTCGCGCAAATAACAACGACCGTTATACCCCGTTCACATTACAGCCTATATCACGTAATATAGGCTGTCTTGCAATGAGCACTCATACATAGGATTTCCAATGAAAACTAGATGTATGAGTGCTCATTGCAAGACAGCGTATATCACGTGATATACGCTGTAATGTGAACGGGGTATTACGGTTGCTCTAAGAGCAACCGTAACGGTACGCTGCTAAACTCATTTTAGCAGCCCTAATCATAGTGCAGCTACCGTATCGGGGGTTGCCATACGAGTAACTAAAATAGCAGTCGGCTTCTCGGTGAGAAGCGCGCTACCAAATTTAGCAGCGCGATAGCAGCGCGGGAGAAAGGTTGCTATTCGTTGCTATCGTTAAAATGCTCACTACCGGTACGGACAAAAGCGAGTAAATTGATAACCGCGATAGCAGCGACCGGTGTGGAGAAGAGTGACTAAACTAAAATGAGAGCGCTGTGCGCTGTTAAAATAGTCGCGCAAATGACAACGACCGCTACGGTTGCTCTAACTAAAATAGGAATGGCTAAAGTTGTTAAACTAGCAGCCCGAATAGCAACGCATTGGTGCTCTTAATAAGTGTTTTAGATTTCTTATGGAATTTCAAATTAAATTCAAATGTTTCGATCAAATACCATATGTTTACACACTAATCCAGCATTTAGTTGTTCGGTTTTTTTTTGTACTGGGCTTACACGGTAAAACGAAAGATTTACTGAACATTCAGTTTAAATCAGGTGAATAACCGACGTTCTGCAAAACACAAACTGAACTTCGGTATCGTTTGATGCAAAATACTGAACACAGAATATTTATTTACTGAGAAAGTCGTTAATTTCCAAATTTTCGTGATTTCACGAAAAGTCAGCAAAAATAATTACTTTACCCAAAGTAGTTTTTATTTTTTTTACCGACTGGTCAGCAAAATAGCCACCTTGTTTTACCGACCACGAATTGTAAAACTCTAACCTGTCAATTTTATTCCCGCCGCCATTTTAGCTTCAGTAAAATCCGGAAGCAAGTGTTTAATCGTGCGGTTTTGTTAAAATTTGAATTATATCATGACGGAACTGAGAAAGCTCGACAGCAAAATTGAAGTACTATTTCGTTAGTACCAACAATTATTATTTACTCTTTTTGCAGTTCCTTGATCTCCAACAAATTTTGATTAACAAAATGGATGTTTGCATTGTTTGCTTTCACTGTCGACGCGCTATTCCGGGGTACGTCAAGGGATTAAGTCGTCATATTAATTGGCATATTATAAACGGTGAATTGCACCAGGATTCATGCTTTTATGACTGCAAATTCACTACTTTTAATATAACTGGGTAACACGGTATAATAATGAACCAAATAAATGTCTTTTCAGTTAAATTGCAGCAAAATAAACAAAAAGAAAATACTGGGTTTTCCAGTATACGCAACTCGAACCAATTACTGAATGAACAGTTATTTTTGACAGATTGACTTTACGGACAGTTCGGTAATGCAAATTATTTCTGTGATGACTACTGGGCGATCCGCAATTCAAAAACCCAGTAAAATTTTACTGACTCCAGTAATCTAAAGTTAGTGTGTACACACATTACATTGAATGCGCAGCTCAAAACGCATATGTTTACCCCTAGGAAGAGTTGATGGTTGATTATCAAATCTAGTTTGACATCCAGATGCCTTTTAATTGGGTCATGGCCCAACCAGCGAACACCCAACTAACGAGGTTCCAACGAACGAATCTCCGCTGTACCAACAATCAATACGAAACTAACGATTTTAAATTGGCTCACCACTTTAGTAGCCTATTGGTCCCAAGCAAACGATTAACGTACCCTATTCTAGTTGAAATTCTATTACTACACTATGTTTGTTTTGATTCGCTATGAAAGTTTGACAGATAACTCAGGGGTGTGTGGATTCATGCAGAACATGCAGGGGTGAGTGAAATAGCTTAGGACTGCTTGGGACCGTTGTTCTGGTACTGAGTGAGCCAACAATAATAATGATTTTCTTCGGGACCCAGTGGTCTTAGAGTTACCTCTATGATATTACATCAATGGATGTAATTTTGTTCGTAAAATCGATGTTCATCGTACAACGTTATATTACACAACCGATGGATTGACCTGGTTGCAGCAGTTTGGATGTAATATTTAACAACTTTTTTCTGTGTAATTTCTATAATTTCAATGTGAGCTGAAGAGCTGTTCAAAAGAATCGACTCCCTTTAGTGAGTTGGATAGGTTTGAGCCACTCAGCCAGACGAGCTGTTCCATACGCTAACTTTTTCCGCTGATTAACTGTGACTCGCCATCATTTTGTTCATTTAAATTCAGGGGGTAAGACACTCTGCCACATTGTGCCTGTGTTGATTGTGTTTCTTGTGAGTTTGTGGGTGTCGGAGGGTGTTTCTACGTGTCAACCTAGCTGTCAAAATAGCAAGCGAAAATGATGCTAAAAACGTGTGAATGTCCACTCAGAGTATTCACCAGGTCCAGTGTCGCTCCATCTAGCTCTTGATCTCCTCGGCTACTACCAATGGGCCGTATGAATAAAAAGAGTTTAGTTTACTTTCCCGTGCTTTTCTTACGGGAAAAGTAAAGTAAACGCTTTTATTCATACGACCTAATACAGTTTTCTGCTCCTTTATTAGCGCCAACCATTCCCGCTTGGCAAGGTCCCACCGGACAATGATACCATTCTTATTCACCACGTACAGAAACCGATCATCGTCAGTCAAACACAGACACGTCGGTGACCGAGGCTGTCAAATACAATCGATTTCGATATTGTTGAAATAAACAGGCCTTTGAACATAAATATTTTAGTTTCAAACATGCTTTCAATTTATTTTGAATAATTCATATATTTAGTTTGAATAATTTTATATGTTTGGTTTAAATGAACAAAATTCGTATCCATGCTCGTTTCGAGACAAATCTCATGTCTCATACCCTTAAAGACAACTTGAATAAATATGGACCTCGATATGGACACAATACAATAAGATCAATTGTTGGAAATAGATTTAGGTGTGATTGTATATTATTCTATAGTAATTGTATGGTTTTTTTTCGGGTCCCCTCGAAGAGCGTGGAATCTTGAATATGTAATATTTGAATAAGCCCTAACGAAACAGCTGATAAAGGCTGATACTACTTTTGAGAGCGCCACGGTGAGTTCCGAGCTCAATTTATCAAAATGCCACTCAATCCACAACACGCTATTTATAAACTACCCAAATTTTAGCAAGATCCACTCATATCGGTCAATAATGAAGCTACTCAAAAATCAGCAAATCAAGTGGAGAGTGACAAGTTGACAAATGGACAACATCGAACTGAATCGGATCAATGTTGTTCATATATCAACTTGTCATTCCATCTTAGCTAACCATCAGCTTCACTTTTGACCGATATGGGTGGGTCCTACTCACTTTTGGATTTTTTGAAATAGCGTGTCTTCTTGGTCTGTCAAAAGCACTCACCGCTCTCACAATCCTTCTTCTGTTTTTGGGCAGCGTAAACGACACGCCGCGCTGCCAAATCACTGAAAATCGCATTTGACAGCTTCTGCTGCGTGTTGTGTTGTACTTTCGTTTTTCTTCGATCGTCGTGCAAAAGTCGCGAAAGCACACAAATTTTCCTGTGAATTATCACAACTTCGACGAGGAAAATTGGCTCGGATTTGCTTAGTTTTGTCCGGAAGGTTACAAATCATCGCTTGGCAAAGTGTGGAAATTGTGCAGCGAAGGAAAATTGCAGAAAGTTGGGAAGAGGAAATGTCAATTTTGGAACCATCTCAAGGCAGCCACATCGGGATCTTTGTCATCTGAACAAGGAACAGAAAATCGAGGGGGGACCAGAAATTCAAGTGTGAATTATTTTTCCCAGTAAAAAGTAGAGCGAGAAAAGGTAGTCAAAATGGTTTTAGCCGATCTCGGGCGGAAGATTACGAATGCCCTGCATTCGCTCAGCAAGGCAACCATCATCAATGAGGAGGTAATGTGCATGGAGTTTGGTTTGGCATGGGAGGGTGATTAATTTCCGTGGCATATTTTAGGTGTTGGATTCCATGCTGAAGGAGATCTGCACGGCACTGCTCGAGGCGGACGTCAACATTCGGCTGGTCAAGAAGCTGCGGGAGAATGTCAAGTCGGTGATTGACTTTGACGAAATGGCCGGAGGTTTGAACAAACGGCGAATGATCCAATCGGCCGTGTTCAAGGAACTGGTCAAGCTGGTCGATCCGGGAGTAAAGCCCTTCCAGCCCGTGAAGGGACGCCATAATGTGATTATGTTTGTCGGACTGCAGGTCGGAAATGGGGATGGGATTTTATATTTAGTAACATTGTTAATTGGGATATCAATTTGAATTTTAGGGTTCAGGAAAGACGACCACCTGTACCAAGTTGGCCTACCACTATCAGAAGAAGAACTGGAAGTCTTGTTTGGTGTGTGCGGATACGTTCCGTGCTGGTGCGTACGATCAGATCAAGCAGAATGCCACCAAGGCTCGAATTCCGTTCTATGGTAGCTACACGGAGATGGATCCAGTGGTCATCGCCCAGGACGGTGTGGATATGTTCAAGAAGGAAGGGTTCGAATTCATTATCGTGGATACCAGCGGTCGGCACAAGCAGGAGGAATCACTGTTCGAGGAGATGTTGGCCGTGGCGACGGCCGTCAAGCCGGATAACATTATTTTCGTGATGGATGCCACAATTGGACAGGCTTGCGAGTCGCAAGCTAAGGCTTTCAAGGAAAAGGTCGATATTGGATCGGTTATCATTACCAAGCTAGATGGACATGCTAAGGGAGGCGGTGCTCTGTCGGCGTAAGTGCACACCTTGGAATAGTCAGTTTGAGTCAGATAAATTTGACTCCATTTTTGTTTTCTTGCAGTGTGGCCGCGACGAATTCTCCGATCATCTTCATCGGTACCGGAGAACACATTGACGATTTGGAACCGTTCAAGACGAAACCGTTCATTAGCAAGCTGCTCGGAATGGGCGACATTGAGGGTTTGATCGATAAGGTTAACGAGCTGAACCTGGACGACAACGAGGAACTGATTGACAAAATCAAACACGGACAGTTCACCATTCGGGACATGTACGAGCAGTTCCAGAACATCATGAAGATGGGACCGTTCTCGCAGATCATGGTGAGTTCGGCAAGGTTTCCTAATTCTACGAATCTGCTCATTTTCTCGTTTTTTTTTTTCTTTCCAGGGCATGATCCCCGGCTTCTCGCAGGACTTTATGACCAAGGGTGGCGAGCAGGAGTCTATGGCCCGTATCAAGCGGCTCATGACCATGATGGATTCCATGTCCGACGGGGAGCTGGACAACAAGGACGGAGCCAAACTGTTCAGCAAGCAGCCGACGCGTGTCATTCGTGTAGCTCAAGGATCAGGCGTGACGGAGCGGGAAGTGCGGGACCTGATCTCCCAGTATACGAAGTTTGCAGCCGTCATTAAGAAGATGGGCGGCATCAAGGGGCTGTTCAAGAGCGGCGATATGACCAAGAACGTGAACCCCACGCAGATGGCCAAGTTGAACCAGCAGATGGCGAAGATGATCGACCCGCGGATGTTCCAGCAGATGGGAGGCATGAGTGGCCTGCAGAATATGATGCGGCAGCTGCAGCAGGGCGCCGGAGGGCTGGGGAATTTGATGGGAGGATTCGGTAAGTCCTGAAGATGCTGTAGGAGCTTTTTAGTTTGAGAAAAAAAAACCGGTAAGATTGTGTCTGATCCTACTGTATTCTTTGAGTTCTTTTATTCCCGATTATGAAATAGTTTATGTTTGTTGTACGAGGAAATATTGATTTTTGTATTATTTTAAGCGCATTGAAACAACGAGAAGAACACGCGTTCTCGTCCCAATAGGAAAATAGAAATGTCTAGGTATATCCACTATCGTAGGTGCAAGGGGTTTTCCGTTGAAGGCTACAGTTTTGAAGAAGCCGTTAGAAGAGCAAGCAAAATGATTATTTTCCATTTAATTCCACTTAGTATTTTGTATCCATACGTATTTCAACAATGTGCAGCCATCATCAGTGCCATTCCCGCTGAATACCCAAAGGATGCGGTTAGATTTTTGCTTCGCAAATGGACGTGCGAAATCCACACATGGGCGAAATTGTCGATTTCGTGAATGCACTGGATGTGCATCCCGTTCAGATGGAAGCAACATACCGGATTGTGGAAGATAAAGCAATTTCGCGGAAGATTTTATTTTTCATTCATCGTTTCACCAAGCGTTGCTATGCGAAAAAAAAAATCTAAGTTTTTGACAGGAAGTTAAAAACTCTGTTCGGTTAGACTGAGTAAGAACCATCACATTCAATTTGCGCGCATTTTTTCCCGCGTGCTCGCACATAGTATCATTAAATGATACATTGATAAATTTTATGATCACACTATCATTGGAACCGTAAACACTAGGTCCACTTCCTGCTAAACACTTAGAATTTTTTTGTGAAACGATCTATTGGGTCGCATGCGGGAGATTACGCTAAATATGTACGAGTGAATGACTTGCCGTCTGAACAACCCGAATGTCTGAAGGATTCCAAGGCGGAATTCTTCACGCACGACATCCCCGGTAAGAAGCCCTTCAAGGTAGTCATCAGGGGTCTCCCAAACTTTGACCCCAAGATGGTCGAAGCTGAAATCAACCGGTACAAGCTAGCCCCAATCGCTGTATTCCGAAAGACAAGGAGAGACAAAAACGTGAAAACGTACTCGGATTGTCTTCTCCTGGTGCACTTTCAGAAAGGGACGGTGACGCTCAATGCGCTGCAAGCCATCCGATCGATCTACTTCATCATCGTACGATGGGAGCCATACCGTGGCGGCCATCGTGACGTAACGCAGTGCCAGCGGTGCCTCAATTTTGGACACGGTACCCGCAACTGCAACATCAAGCCACGCTGCAGCAACTGCGCTCAAGAACACGCCACTTCCAACTGCCCTGCGGATGGAGCCGTGGCGTTAAAATGCGCCAACTGTGGTGGTACACATCAAGGTTCCGACAGACAGTGCTCCACACGCGAGGACTTCAAACGCATCTGAAAACAGGTGGCAACTAACAACCAACCAGGACGCAAGAAGGACAAAGTCCCGGCATTTCGGACGGAGGATTTTCCGCCTCTTCGTGCTCCTCAGCAAACCCTAATAAAAAATAACCATACACGAACGATAACCCAAATCATTGAACTATTCCACAAATGGTTTGGATGATACCCAGAACACGTCGTTAAGCAAATTAACCATACAATTTTTATTAGGGAAGGCAAGCGAATTCGCAGGTGCATCCCGCTCAAGCAACCTCCGGTGATTCTGCTGGCCAAAGCTCCCCCCCTGGATTCTGGAGACAACCAACAGCGCAAAACAACAACCCCGATCTGTTCTCAGCGGATGAACTGATGGAAATTTTCGTCAACATGTCCGGTGCTCTTCGTAAGTGCCGCAATAAACCCGAACAGATCCAAGTGCTCGGTAAGTTCATCATCCAGTATGGCGTCTAAACCGCTAACTATCGTCACCTGGAATGCTTGCTCTGTAAGAGCAAAAGAGATTGAGCTTGCCGACTTCCTCCGCAAGCACAGCATCGACGTGGGTCTTCTAACCGAGACCCAACTAAAGTCCAGCGACAGCTTCTGGTTGCCTGACCACAACATTATCCGGCTTGATCGCACCAGCTCCAGGGGGGGTGGTGTTGCGGTCGTCGTCAAGAAAGGAATAAAATACCACATTTGTCTCATATCCGCACCTCTATCATCGAGGCCCTTGGTGTGGAGGTGGAGTCGTCGACTGGATACGCCCAGTTCATCGCCGTCTACTGTCCTCGACAGTGTGTCGCCAGCAGTGGACTAGCGGCTAAATTTAAGAAGGACCTGTCCATCACCCGTACCGGTTCCCGCTTCGTAGTTGGAGGAGATCTGAATGCTCGCCATGAGGCCTGGCGGAACTACCAGCAGAACCAGAACGGTCGTCTCCTGTTCGACCACTCACAGCATGGGCTGTACTCCGTTTGGTTTTCGGATGAACCAACATTCATCTCACCGGCGGGCAACCCATCGACGCTAGACCTGTTTCTGACAAAGATCGGCTTGTCCAAGCCTTGAACGAACTCAGCTCCGACCACCAACCGGTGGTGGCTGAACAGTTTGGACGCGTGGTAGACAGGCACATCATCGACAACCCGCCGCTTGACACCGTGGAGGACATCGACCGAGCGTTGGAGGGACTCCACCAAGCCATAACCGTGGCTGACGAGGCGTGCGTCCGACGAGATCCTGTGAGGGGTAAGTTTATTGCCATTGATTCCCATTCCCAACTTTTGATTCGCCTGAGAAATGTTCGTAGACGTCAGTTTCAGAGGACTGGAGATCTGGGCAAAAAACGTGAAATGGCTGATCTGAACAGACAGATTACTTCCAGAATGGACTCACTCCGAAATGAAAGTTTCGGGCGTGTTGTCCAGAATATGGACGACCGCTTCAGACCATTCTGGAAGGTAGCCAAGGTCCTGAAAACTCATCCCAAACCCATTCCACCTCTCAGAGTCGAAAATGATGACGATCGGCTTTTAATCACCCCACAGGAGAAAGCAAATGCGATCGGCAAGCATGTCGCTTCATCGCATTTCTTCTTCTTCTTATTCGCATTTCAAGCTTATTGCTTAGCGCATATTAGCTTATTGCGTGCTCTCAACTTAGTGTTCTAAATGCACTTCCACAGCTATTAATTGAGAGTTTTCGATGCCAATACCAATGCATGAATTTGTGTATTGTGTGGCAAGCACAATGATACTCTATGCCCAGGGAAGTCGAGAAAATTTCCAACCCGAAAGATTCCCTCGACCAGACCGGGAATTGAACCCGCCGCCTCCGGCTTGGTAATACCGTGCCTTTACTGACTAGGCTATGAGGCCCCTGCTTCATCGCATTTGCTTGGCTCGACTATCCAAAGTCCGCTCGATGATCAGGTTGCGCTATGCGTTCAAAACATAGATGCCTCCCCTTGTGTCGTGCCTCCGGCGGATATGATTACAGTACAACAGATTTGCTCAGCGCTGAAATGCACCAAGAACATGAAAGCTCCCGGGTTTGACGGTATATTCAACTTGATCTTGAAGAGACTCAGCATGAAAGTGCAGTCTCTTCTAACCACTATCCAAGGAACTGCACTACTTTCCAAGCATCTGGAAAGTAGCAAAAATCATACCAATCCGCAAGCCCGGTAAGGATCCAACATTGCCTTCAAGCTACAGACCAATCAGCCTCCTTTCAGCGCTGAGCAAATTGTTCGAGAAACTCATTCTCAATCGTTTGCTCAAGTTTGTCGAGGAAAATAACATTCTCCTTCCGGAACAGTTTGAATTCAGAAAGGGGCACTCCACCAATCATCAGCTAGTACGGGTGATCAATAACATCCGAAGTAACAAAGCTGTATCTAAGTCCACAGCCATGGCCTTGTTAGACGTTGAAAAGGCGTTTGACAATGTTTGGCATGATGGACTTGTGTACAAGCTTTGTAACTTCAACCTACGCATCATTAGTTTGGTGGCCGAAAACTAAAGAAAAATCGGCTCAGAAGAAGCTGGGGAGACTGCAAAGACTTGCTACTCTCTCAATAACTGGTGCAATGAACAGCACACCGAGTATTTCACTAGATGCTCTACTTTATCTGATTCCGTTGCATCAATTTATCCAATTAGAAGCTGAAAGGAGCGCTTTAAGGATTCAACGAACAAAGTACTTCCTTGAAGGTGATCTTACAGGACACCTTAGCATTTTAAAAATGTTTGATATTGATTCTCTTGTATTAAAAAATGAAGACTGGATGGAGAAAAAATATAATTTCGATCGTTTATACAATGCAGCAGAATTTGATCGTAATGTTTGGGAAAGTGGGGGACCAAACATCCGTCCAGGTTCAACTGTTTTTTATACAGACAGTTCAAGATTGAACAACCGTGTGGGAGCAGGGGTAACTGGTCCAGGGATTGATATCTCAATATCCATGGGTTACTGGCCAACCGTGTTCCAAGCAGAAATTCAAGCAATTCTTGAATGCTCTGTAATATGCTTGCGCATGAATTATAAACATTCGAATATCTGCATTATGTCTGATAGTCAAGCAGCATTAAATGCTTTAAAATCAGCAACTTCCAATCCAAACTCGTATTGGAATGTGCAATGTCACTTCAGAAATTGGCCTGTCAAAACCAAGTAAACTTATATTGGGTTCCTGGCCACTGTGGAATTGAAGGGAATGAAATAGCCGATACGTTAGCCAGGCTAGGATCATCACAGCAATTCATAGGACCAGAACCATTCTGTGGAGTTTCTACTTGTTCTCTTAAAATGGAGTTCAAGAAATGGAAAAAAATGAAAGTGGAGACCAATTGGAACAACACTTCCATTGCTAGGCAGTCGAAACGGTTCATAATTCCGAACATTTCAATGACTAGCAAAATTCTTGAATTATCAAAGAAAGATCTCAGTGTCTATACTGGTTTGATAACAGGACATTGTCCATGTAAATATCATTTGAAGCTAATAGGAAAACTTCAAGAGGATATGTGTCGATTCTGTGGTATAGAAAAGGAAGACTCTGAACACCTGCTATGCTCTTGTGCAGCAATCTTCAATAAAAGGCGTATTTTTCTGGATAAGGGGCTGGCAGAACCCTTTGATATTTGGAATGCAGGTCCCAGTAAAGTAGTACATTTCATTCGAAATGTAATACCTGGCTGGGAAAATGCTTTTGGTCAGTCTATGTCGGTCGCTTCACAAAATAGTGATACGACAGAACTGATAAAGCAATATAAAAACGGGGAATATCACAATAGATCAAAGTAATGGTCGCAGTGATGAATACACCCAAAACGGAAAAAAAACTTCAACTTTCC